TCTTAAATACAATGGCAGCCTTGCCTGCCTACCCCTAATTTTAAGTGCTATGTTTGTTTGCTGGAGGACATATTCTGCAGTGGCAAAAAATCTCCATGATGTAAGAAGTTTGTCCATGTTTTAAAACTGTCTATATGCATTAAGTCCAGTTGAGATGAGATAGCACTGCTCTAGCGTGTGCAAAATAAATATGCTTCTCTCCTCGGAGTGAGCTGCTTGGAGCCCCTAGTTGAGCAGAACCCAGCAACACGGCACTGGGAAAGCTAGAAGGAGAGGGACTCTGTGCCAAACCCCGGACCGCAGGCCCTCCTTCTGTGCCGCGGGCCCCTGCTGCCTGTGACTTTCGTGGCACCCATGCTATAGCTGCAAGGCCATAGCTAAGGCAAGGCAGTGAGACTAGGAACCAGTCGGTGTGGCAGAAGGCATGGGGGCAGAACAAGGACCGATCAGTGCAGGAGAGGTGTCAGGGCTCGCGGGGATGTAGCACAGCACAATCATTTTATTATTATTATTATAACATTTCTATGTCGCCCCTTGCCGAAACCTCGGGGCGGCTTACAACATGATAAAATACATTGAAATACCATAGTACATAATAAATTACCATTAAATACAAAAAATACATTGATTTACAAATATAAAATTAAAATTATCAGTATAAAATAAAAAATATAGGAGGAGAAAGAGAAGGAAGAAGAAGTTGCCCTGGCCAGATCATATGTTTTAACAATTGAAATGATGTTTAAATAAAAAGGTCTTTACCTGGCGCCGAAAAACCAGTAACGACGGTGCCAGGCGGACCTCTTTGGGGAGTGAATTCCATAGGTTGGGCGCCACCGCAGAGAAAGCCCTCCTCCGGGTACTTACTCTCCTAATTTCTTTCATGGAGGGTTCCCGGAGAAGGGACTCTCCCGCAGATCTCAAAGGGCGGTCGGGCATATACGGACGTAAGCGCTCGTTCAGGTAGCCAGGACCCAAGCCGTTTAGGGCTTTATAGGTCATAATCAACACCTTGAATTGGGCCCGGGCTTCAATGGGAAGCCAGTGAAGCTGACGGAGGACTGGAGTCATGTGAGCATAACACCCCGTCCCCGTCAGCAACCTGGCAGCTCTATTTTGCACCAATTGAAGTGTTCGGACTGTCTTCAGGGGAAACCCCACGTAAACCCCACAATCATCACGGTAAGTAAGAGGGAAGGAATTTTCTTATACTGCTCTTTGTTGCAATGTGAGGTATTTGGCTTTACAATTGACCTCCAAAACAAAATGGTAGGGTCTAGAACTAGTTTGTTGGTATGGGTCCAACACAGTAGACTGCAATTTTAGACTCCCTTTGAGAATGTGCTGTTTCTGAGCACTGCACCACTGGGATTGAGAAGACTGCAGAGCCAGAGTTCTAGAACTGCCATGTTAATTTTTTTGTTTTGTTTTTGAAGAGTGGAAGGTGGTGGTAGAAAAAGTGCACAGATTATTAGATCTGTCCTAGGTACAGAAACACCTAGCTATGGCCCTATAGCCTGGCTTTGGACCACAAGTGCCAGAATTCCTGACCATTGACCATGCTGCTGAGAGCAGCTGGGAGTTGTAGTCCAGAACATCTGGACTATACTAGGTCAGGGAAGTCTGCTGTAGACTCTTAATATTTGTATTATTGTCTCAGCTCTGTTGATGATATGCTGATGGCTATAAGTGGGCCAAATGGAATGACTATTAATTACCTGGATCCATAGCTGGCTACAGGGTTGGTCTCAAAGAGCACATATCCATGGCACCTTCTCAGATTGGGGAAAGGTAACCGTTCAGTCCTGGACCCAGTGTTCTTCAACATGCTTATTAATGATTTTGCATAGGACATTCAGGGAATGCTTATCAGATTTGCAGATGACACAGACTTGGGTGAGATAGCTAATTCCCTGGAAGACAGAAGCAAAACTCAGAGAGATCTTGATAGGTTGGAGGGTTGGCTCGAAATCAACAGAATGAGATTACCTGGGACAAATGCCAAGTTGTGCTCCTAGGAAAAAGGAACCAAATGCATTGTTACAAAATGGGGAATACTTGGCTCAACAATACTACAAGCAAGCTGGAATTGTTGTAGATCACAAGCTGAATATGTGGCTGTGAAAAAGGCAGCTCTATTTTGGGCTGCATTAATAGAAGTATCACTTCCAAAACCCATGAGGAACTAGTTCCCCTCTACTCCGAACTAGTTAGGCTTCACCTTGAGTACCATGTCCAGTTCTGGGCACCACCATTTAAGAAAGGTGCAGACGAACTAGGAAAGGTGTGGAGGAGGGTAAAGGATGCTCAGAGGATTGGGAACAAAGCCTGGAAGAGAAATTGGAAGAACTGGGCATGTTTATCTTTGAGAAGATTGGGGGTGGGGGTGGGCGAGATGATAGCACTCTTCAAGTACTTAGGTTTCCACACAGAGGAGGGCCAAGATCTCTTCTCAATCATCCCAGAGTGCAGGGCATGGAATGCTGGGCTCAAGTTATGGGACACCAGATTCCAGCTGAAGATCAGAAAAAACTTCCTGACTGTTAGAGCAGTATGCCAATGGGCTCTCCCACATTGGAGGCATTCAAGACAAGGTTGGATAACCATCTGTTAGGGATACTTTAACTTGGAGTCCTGCAGTGAAGAGGGGGTTGGACTCGATGGCCTTATTGGTCCTTCCAGCTCGACTATTCAAGAAATCTATCAGTCCTTAATTTTTCAGCAGGGAAGCTCAAATTCAAACAACTCCACATGGAAGGAACCATCAACTGAGATGCAAATCGAAGTGACAAATTCACATACAACATGGATGCGGTGTGTCCCTTGAGTTACTATATTCGTTGTGGCATAATCTGTTTCCCTACAATAGCTCCTTTTGCCCATAAGCATTTTCACTGCTATAGCTACCATGACTCTGAGAACATGATGCTCTCCCAACAGGCTGCACTACAATTCCCTGAGGATGATGGGATCTGTAGCTTAATAAATCTGCAGGGTGCTAAGTTGGGGAAGGTTGGATTAGAAGAGAAGCTTGGGAACAGCTTTACAGAGCTATTTAAAAAAAGCCTCCCCCCTCTGAGTCTGTAGCTATTCAATTAATAGGTTAGAAAAGCTCATTTGTAATCCCTCCTTGTGCACACTGGTAAAAATAAAATATAAGATTTCACTATTATTATTGATTCAGGTTCATTTGATAAGATTGCTTATAATAAAAGAGGAAAAAAAACGACCCAGCCATTACATTTCCATTTACATTCTCTAGTATCCTCCAATCTAACCTTTCTAACAGGGAGGTTGTGGGGGGGGGGGGGGGGAGAATAAAAGCCTGGTTTTTGTCAAATGGAAAGGATGAAGAAAAGACTCCTCCAGGAATCCAATCCCCTGTAAATGTTCCATTTCATACCTTTTTATGACATTGACATCCCTTAATGCGGCATAATCCTACTTCCGGTACCTGCCAAATACAACCACTTCTATGGAAAGAGCCCCACTTGTGACAGGAAAATGGTTGTGGAATATGTTCCTCACCCAATCAGCAAATCAACGATCTGCAACAAAGGGGGGGGGGGGGGGGGAGGTATTAGCACAACCAGCTTTGTTACTTAGATGATACTGCCCTCTTATGGCAGAAGGGAAAAATAAACACAGCACACTCTCCTTCAAGCTGGTCTCCTCCAGGTGTGTTGGACTGTAACTCCAGCATTCCCATTGGCCATACTGTCCGGGAATACCGGGACTTGCGGTCCAACACATCTGGAAGGCATGAACTTTTAGAAGGTTGGCATACAGAAAGAACCTACAGAAAATGGTCACAGTCCAGGGCCCAGATGTGAATGCTTGAGCACAGCAATGTCAAAATGTGTTAGTTTGATATGCTGCATGTTCAGCCCGCACTCAAGGACTCTCATGAACTGGGTTTTTAATTTACAAGTTTGCGCATGTTGCTTTCAGAAAAAATATATAAATCCATTGATACACAAAACAGAATGATGTTTGAATGAAGTACAGAATACCAGTACTTTCAGCAAAAGGAGGATAATGTTAAGAAGCTTCAACAGAGTTACAGTGTAGTTTGGAGAAGCAGACCCTGAAACCTTGGGTAGGCTTCATTTTAGGCTGCACTAGGGTTTCCAGTGCTTGGGTAGAACAATCCTTTAATGTGTGAAGAAAAGCAGTATTTTTTTCAACAAAGTTTAAATATTACAAGTCTGGGAAGACACTTATCACTCTAGCCACATATTTTGCTATTGTCAGCTGGGCATGGGCCAGGTTGATCTCTTTTCTTCAAGTGCCTTTGTTCATGTCTCCTTCTGTTGCAAAATGGAGGGTACCTCTTTAGCAATGACATATTGAGTTGGCTTGTGTTTTGGGAAGAAGGGATTATTTTTGTGTGGAGAAGGAATATTCTTGCAGCCTAGATTGAAAGACACAAACTGAATTTTATTCTGGTCACATCTTGTCCTTCTGCCCCAAGGAGCTGAGGGGTGGTCTCCCCTCTGTTATCAATCCTGTGAAATGGATTACTGTTGAGAGAGTCAGTGAGTGGCACAAAGTCAACCAGAGAGCTTAATGACTGAACAGTAATTTGAACTTGTTTCTCCCCTGCTCTTGTCTAATCCTCTTAGCACTACCACACAGTCTCATCTGGACAAGAGGTGGAGCAAGGAGGGGAAGATAGACAATCCATACCTCATGAAAGATTGAACAAAAGAAAGGATGCCAACAAAGGTTAGGAAACTGATGCAAAGGCAAATCAACAGCATATAAAATTAGACTTGCTTCTAATTTAGTAGCAGTTTAAGAGAGTGGAATTTTCTCTGATGGAAAGAGAGCAAGATTTTCCTGCAGCTTCATGACCACTTTGGTGTGTTTCAGAACAGAAGATAATGTATCTTCAAAAATACACTAGCTGACTTTCACTTTTCTATATATGGAAAATGCAAGGGTGAAGAGCATTGAGTGCCTGACACATGAAATTGCTACAACAGAGAAACAAAGCATTTGGTTGTTCAACTGATCATTTATTACGAATGAATCTCAGGCATTTAGGTCTTTACCCAACAAGTCATATACACAGTGGAAGGATGCACTATACATCTCAAAGAAAAAAAATTCTACAGTTTCACTATAAGTCACTAGATTGCTTTAAGAGTACACTGTTATAGTTCACAATTAAATACAAATTTACCCAAAACATTTGGCATAAAGATCAGTACAAGACATGAAGACCCACCACAACAAATGAATGGGAAAGGCAGTTGTATTCTTCCAGTAAGTCTGTTACAAGTCAAAGGGATGTAAAAATACATTAGTCAGTATGTGTTCATATTTTTCTACTGTGCAGTAGCACAACACAGGAGGGATGAAGGCAACATAATAGAAGGCAAACTCCATATGCCTATGCTTGACAGATGTAAAAACATTAACTGCAGAAAAAACTATTGCTAAACATTTCATAAATCTTATTTCATTGAAAATCTGCTTTTAAGGCATAAGCCCCTTCCCCTCCACAAACATCAGAAGTATACTATCTAATTAAGGAGCTAATAATGAGAATAGGTAAATTCTACAGAAGAGAAAGAAATACCCTGCACCGTTAATTATCACATTTAAAGAAAAAAGTCTAACATGTGTACAATCACAACAGAGCAGATGGGATATAATAAGTAAGGGAGCAATGATATTCTGCTTCATCATAGTAGGACCCTTGAATCATGTTCTGATGGTACTGAATTGCTTCTTCTTTGATGATTCCTCAGTCCCTTATCTCAACGCACAGGGTGAAGTGACACTAGTGCACTGAACACAACAGTTTGCTTTCTAAAAACACCCTTCTCAAGATGTTTTCTTGCAGCCATGTCTTCATCTTATATATATTAGGATTTATAAAGACAAGGTAAAGTGCAAGGTTCCCAATTCCCTCCCCCCATCCCCTGTATAATTGCATTTGGCTAATCTACTCATTAAAAAATTTAGAATACTGTTTAATAAGTTCTCTCTTGGACAAATCACCAACATCTGCATTTCTGGGATATATCTTGCTCATGGCTCTTTATTCTGCTTTCAAAGTCAGAAAAATATTCTTGCCATGGGCTACTTTGGCTTAAAAATGCTTTGCTGGCCTATGCAGGAAGTTTTTACTCCCAAATCTTTCAGTGGCAGGAAACAGTTATTTGTTTGATTTAGCCTTGTAAATCCAAGACTCAAAGATGCAAGGGCATCAAGGTGGTCCCTTCTGAATAATAATTCATGGTAGGATTTTGATATGTAATATTTGCACAGCAAAATTGTACTTGGAAGCTGAACCGACAGGGTGAGAAACCCTCCCATAAGGGTCACATATTCATCAGAGTGTAATGCTAGTACTATAATCGACATTGCACATTCCCCTTCCCTTTGCTCTTTCCTTCATTCAGTTCAAGGGATGAACAAACATTATTGTGCTACTACTACTAGTGCAACAGCTAATGCGCTGAGGACCACCATCTTTAACCTCATTACAGAAGATGGCCACATTAAGGTCTTTGGCTCTGATGCAAAGCCCTCTAAAAAAATTAATGACAACCCTTCTAGTTTTAAGTGAATTCTTAATAGGTCTGAAAGTTTCAAACAGATATCTTTGTTTGGAGTAGGTTTATTCAGTACAGATGTAGTCAGTGAAATGATTTCAACACTAAGTCTTAAGCATGGAAACAGCCACACCCAGGCCAAAGTTCATTGCTGAACAGTTTCAATGCTATGTAAAATTTGTATTTGAAAATTAAGGTAAAATACAACCCACCACCATGTATGAACATGTCAATGTTTTCACATATTTTATTAATTTTAGCCATTGCTTAAGGATTCATACCCTTTGAAGATCAAAAATGCTGATTAAGGTTTTATTAAAACCACAAGGAATTGGAAAGTTTCCTAAACCGGCATGCAGTATACTCTGCCACTATAAGAAACTGCAGTGTGGTGTTTTTGGTGATTCAACACTAGATGTTCATGAACCACAAGCTTCTCCCTGAATACAGATATTGCTAACAGGATTAGTTTCTAGCACGGAAAGCCATGAAAATGGCCAATGCTTTCCACCAATATATTTGCTCAACATTTGTTGGTCTAGCTGAGAATAAGGCATATACAGATGTCTCTAAAAGACAACAGGACTCAAGAATTATGACAATTCTCAAACCCAACAGTGAGATTCCTCAATCTCCTCAAGAAATAGTTTTAAACCTTGAAAATATATCTTTTCTTGTATAATGTATAACAAATTACATTTTCTACTAATTAATTTGGTAAACCCATTTCCTTGATTTAATCTCCAAAGCAGCTTCTGAAAGGCAGCATGTGCCTTTTTAATTTAATTTAATGTCATTTTGATGCTGGCTGCTGAAATGCTGCCATTATTTGCTTTATAAATATTAGCCCTAACAATGTAACACTAAAAGATTTACATTTCTGGTCTAGAAGTGAGGCATATGGTGCTCCTCTTGTAGAGTATTTTTCCATGATCACCAAGCTGCAAACTTCAGTTTTAGGAAGCCGTAAAAAAATAAAATCCAATTATAATGATTACTAAAACTGATCTGCTTACTTCAGTTAATTCGGTCAATAAGGGAGGAATTGGAACTTCTGTAAACTTTTAACTGTAAATAACAATCTGAAGTATTTCAGCACTGCTTTTACTTAGCTATCCATATATGTACTAAATATGAATTATCCTTGTGTCCTATGAGAAAGCTGCCTAAAAATATCATAATATCTAGTTCATGGAATCTAATTAAATGGGATAACATATGCTATACTCTAGTGCAGGGGTCCTCAAAGTTTTTCACCAGGGGGCCAGTTGAAAGCTGCCGGTGTTGGGTGCGGGCCGGAAAGATGGTGTCTGATGGTGCACGTGGGCTGACGAGGGGGCGGGGGCAGTACATGCAGGGAGGCATGGGCATGCGTGGTAAGGGAAGGCAAGGCAGGGGTGGGCACGCACCACAAGGCCTTCTCTGCGGTGGCACCCCACCTATGGAATGCGCTCCCCAGAGAGGTCCACCGGGCGCCGTTGTTATTTGTTTTTCGGCGCCAGGCCAAGGCCTTTCTATTTAAACGATATTTTAATCGTTTTTATTGGTTTTAAACTATTGCTGAGATGCTCCGAATTTTTAATGTCTATCCTGTTTGTTTATCCTCTTTGGAAGCCGAGGCTTTCTGCGATGGGGGCGGCATAAAAATGCTTTAAATAAATAAATAAATAAGGTGGGCGCACGAGGCAGCATTGCTCCCTTGGAGATCATTTTCTCCGAGTGAGCAAACCGCCGCCTCCCGCACGCGAGGTGAGGCGGGCGGTGGCGGGCGCATGCGTGAGCGCCCGCGTGGCAGGTCCAGATGAGCATGGCAGGCCAGATAAATGAGCATGGTGGCCCGGATCCGGCCTCTGGGCTGTAGTTTGAGGACCCATGCTCTAGTGACACATATCCATGCTTACTATTTATGTTCAACTGAGATAAACCTTGATAATTTTTTGAATATGAACTCTGTATTCTTGGATAGGTCAGTGTTTTTTCACCACAAGACCTGAAGACCACTGGCAGCTCCCAATAATCTGCAAGTGTGGCTCTTGGTTCCTCTTGGTTTTGTGACAGCTGTTTACCCTCAGGACAGGCGCTCAGGCACTATCTGGGCCCCCTGCTATGATCAGGCTATTGGAGGAGGTTTTATAGATGTGGAGTCATGAGGACTGCCTGGCTCATCAATTGTAAGGTGGCAGGTGGAAGAGGGGAATCCTGGAGTAACAAATCAATCTGCCGGTGGGGTGGGGGGGCAGCCGAAGGACAAAAGAGCCATATGACTAGCTAGCTGCTCTGACGCACTGCACAGGAAGCAGAACAGAAACTGACTTTCCAGTAAAATGAGAGCATTTGTAGTAGTGAGTAGAATAAACCGCCTTCTCAGTGATGAGAGAACAAAATCTATCCCGATTCAAAGATTATGCAATGCTGTTGGAGTGCACCTGCTTGGGACTGACTAAACTTGGCTTGGGTGATGTGAAGGGGAGTGCAGAGGAGAGACCCCAAAAGGCCCCCTGCCAAATCTGGTGCAAGTGCCACCATTTGACCAGGGAAGCATGAGCAGACTATCTCAGTGACATGGAAAAGGACACGTGTACTCAAGGACTCAAAATGGGTCTTGCCTGAAAAAAATCTGAAAATCATTAGGTTAGGTTTTCACGTATTATGGGTAGCATCCAATTGTGCCCCAGCAGTAGAACCAATAATAGTGATTTTCTGCCAAATTTCAGTGCAAAATGCTTTTCCCATTGCCCTAGCAACCTGCAGGTACACTGCACAGCGATTTGACTGTGCTGCACATTACTGATGATAGTGCTCAACTGGGCACTATTCTCAACTGGGCACTACTAAAAAGCTACAGCTTGCTTCTTTGCACAACCAACAAATACAGTACTGACTAATGCAGCATCTTTTCACATAGCCAGTCACCAAAGGATAAATCAGTTTTGGAGAATGAAACCTGTTAGAATGCCACAAGACATGTGGATTCTTTCCTATCACCTTATCATTTGAGAAATCATTTTTGGACCAGCATGTTGACCTCTTGCACACTATTGAATTCAATATCAATTAATTCCAGGCTGGTTCGGGCTGCAGTTTTTAAAGATAAAGTCATGAACTACAGCTGCAATAGACTGTAAGTTTCAAGGTTTACTGTCTTGTGGGTAAAGGTTTTATTGAAGATCATGCCTGAGTAACTTGCAACATGCCCAGCACACAAGAGTTCACCATTTGTAAGGCAGCCTACGAGGGGCTCAACATTTTACCTGTGCTGCCTGCCTGAGACAGCAAAGAGAGGAGAGGGAAGGAAAATGTTAAGCACCAGGTCAAGGTTGGTAAGTCACAAGTTGGAGGCCTTCTTCAGACCAAAATGCTGCTGCTTCCAGTGAAGCAAATGGGAAAGCTATATGCACGTGCGTGCAGTGTGTCTTGAGATGCGGACTGGGAAAAGGTGGGCAGCAGCAGCATGGCATCTAAGCAATGACAACCTTGCCCACTTTGCTAATGCATATTTAAGGCAGGGTACTAGTCCTCATTGCTGAAAAACGGGCAGAGAAGCCACGGTCAGCACCAACTCATGTTCAGGAATATTAACAGCCGCTATTCTGCATTGTATACATTTGACCTTCAGATTGTATAGGCCATTGTTGGGAATGGTTTGCCTAAGGACTATTTTTGCCTTATCCAGACTGAGAATAGTTACAGACTCTCCCTGGTGTCTCACAAATTTGAGGGCTCATGGCAACTTAAACTATTTTTTACATCATGGTCTAGATATCAAATGAAAACCTAAATAATAAAAACAAAAGGACAGTGGACAGTATATGTATGTGGGTATATGTGAAAATGACTCACATATACCCACATACATACTAGGCAGAACTGAAATATTTAACATTTAATTTCTGGGAGTTAAATAAATAGAGGTACTAATAGCAATTAGCAAATCAGCAAGGCTGGCCAGTTTGACTGATCCTTTCTCAAGACCCCCTTTGTGCCTCCTGCCACAGAAGCGAGACTGAAAGACCACTAGCATCCGTAACAACATGAGACGTTTAGGCTCAAAACAAGTAAAACTGTGTGGTACAAAAGTGGTGAGCTACAGACTAAGAATTTTGAATCAGAATTCCAGTGCTATGCCTGATCTGTGCCAATAAGTACTATGTGGACGTGACATGATCCAGTCCAAGAATTACCAACTCATCTTGTGTGCGGTCTATATCATAATCACAGTTATTTCAGTCCTTTGAAATGTTATTGTCTTCAACATCTTGATTTTTCCTTTGATCTTTATCCCATCAGTGAAATATGAGGCTTTGAAAATGTAGATGTCTTCACACTCATTCTGTAATTATGTATACTATTATTCTGGACCAAGGTTTTCCATATTATTTTCTAGTGTACACCTTCATTTACAAAAAAGTCTTTTAGTAGTTACAAAAAATATTTATAATGCACCTGATGCTTCTTTAATATCAACACCTGCTTGTGTCCGAAGTTTGCCTGGTCTTCATTCCAGTTTGCTACTTTCTGACTTCTGATCCAATCTGCTCTTGTTACTCTTTACCATGTAGATGAAGTAAGCAAGTGTCTCTTTCTCATTTACTGGGATGTTCCTGAAGTGGCGACTAACAGTCTGAAAGGACATTAGAATGTCTTGAATTATGGAGTTAGCATACAGTCTATGGTTTTCACATAGTTTGCTCTCTAGGTTGTATTACCTGGCAAATATATTTGGCTATTTTTTATCTGTTTTTATGAACTACTAGAAATTCATTGCTACAGCTCATACAATACACAAGGAAAGGGACAGAATAACCCTTGTAACAATTAAATTTTATCTATATAAAGAAATCTAACAGAAGCATTTCTGAAAATTAATGACCTGAAGTTTATCATAACTAAGACTTAATTTTAAGATCAGACTGCATAGGATTACCTTCTTACCCAGGTGGAACGAGACTAAGAGATGTAATTTCTTTGAAAGAATCTCACTACAAATTTTCCCATTTGCTTAAAAAGAAATAGGGATATTAATCACCCCAAGACAACAAATGGTAGTTTGAGTTTTCCTTATGGTAGACTAAGGAAAGCAAAAATGATTCAAGGATGACATCCAGCATAGAATCAAAACTGTTCAACCTTCTTAGCAAATCTGAGAAGTGTGTGACAATGTGTAGCTGGGCTCTCTTTAAAATTAGTTATCTGTTTCTGTAAGAGTTTTGAAGGAGAAATATGGGAAATTACACAGAGAATAAAAGGTATAGGAATTAGATGATAAACCCTCAGGTGGACCACCAGAAACAGAGACTGTGTGGCAAACAGTTTGCCCATTATAATGGGAATGTATTTTGTCTACTTGGTCTATGCTGCAAGAGAAACATAATATAGAGGTGCCAGACTGGTTGATATTAAGTAGTGGTATAAAACGGAAAACCTTACCTGGAGAAGGGCAATAGAATAATTTCTTAGAAGCAGCAGATCCTTCTGCTTCTCTTGTTTGCGCAGAGACTATGGAATGGATCTATACTTTTTTGTACTAAGCAGGCTTTTTCAAGAACGGAATCAAATCCTTATTCCAAACCATGGTTTTACTGTGCAATTGCAGCACATTTTCACAGAATTTTATAGCAATGCACACAGCTTTCCATCTTCAGTGTCAATCCTTTAAACTGAAAAATTCCTTTGGATTCCTACCATTAGGAGTGATCCACTAAGAACCAGTGTGGTCTACCAGTCAAGCGTGCAGGAGTGGGACTTAGGCGATTCTAGGTTCTAGTCCCCATTCAGCCATGGAGCAAACTGGGTGATTTTGGGCCAGTCAGAGACTCTCAGTCCAGCCTACCTCACAGCTGTTGTAGGGATACGTAAAATTGAGAGCAGCAGCAGGACAATTATGTAATCTGCTTTGCATTCTAGTGGGGTGTAAATTGAGTAACTGAATAAATCTATCAGGAAGTACCCATAGAATCTTTCTGCCACTTTCTTCCCAACAAGGGAAAGAGTATGGTTTACTTCGTTACTAATATGCTAGCAAAGATAAAGGATCCTTTGCCTTTTGCTTTTTGATTCTTGCAAGAACCTAGAAGAAGGGCATTGTAGTAGTTGCCCTTCCTCCCTCATGGTTCATGTACTACTCTGGAGAGTTGTACAGCACTCCAGAATAGAGGCTTGGATGGCAAAGGATGCTTCAGTTGGCAGAATTCAGTTCAAATCATTCCACCAGCTAACGCATCCTGCCACCAGACTTCTGCTCATGAAACGTTAAGATGTAAGCCATATTCACAAAATACATGGTAGACATTATCTATGCAAATGTGGACAAGACATTGGACTGTGAAGCACAACTTTCCAGTTTCTTGCATGTGTCATGAACCCACTAGATGGCAAGGGATCATTTCTCAATTCAGACAATTTTCTGCAATGAGGGAACACTGGCCTATCTTACAGGGTTGTTGTACATGGCACTGACAGTAAATTAATGTGAAGCACTTTCAATGCTTCCAACTAAGTGTTAGCTACATGTGCAACAGAATAATCCACTTATATCTTCTGAACGGAAAAAGATCAAGCCATATATTTAAATCAAGGTTGCAGCGCCCCAGACCCAGGGACAAAATCTAGCCTTCTGGGGTTCCAATCTAGCCATCCATAGTTCATCTTGCTCTGAACCACCAATTTAATGTTTTCCCTGCCTTCTGCGCAGTTCTCCCTCACACCATACACTTGAAATGCCTCTCGTAAGGTTTGGCCAAACATGTTACGAGTTTTAAGCTAAAATATGCTGCTATTTTTCATTTGTGGCTCCCCTGCCTCCCACTGGAATAAGCCCTTGAGAGCTTTTCCAAAATGGAGTTCAGTTTTTGAGCAATAAAAGGTTCTGTACCCCAACTTAAGTCAAATGAAGTCATCAGCTTTAATTATAATCCTAAACCTATAATAAATTCTAACCAATAAAACAATGTTTGGTCTAACATTAGGAGGCCTTATGTATGACCATTTGTAGCAAGTTAATAACATATAAAGATATGAAAATTTATTTGCTTTTGGTATTCTTTTAACTCAATGATAAGTCAAGAGAAGAGAAAACTAGTGTAATTTCTATGCTGACATTGCATTCCAAGGTTCTCCGCATATACAGTAGGAAGAACTGCTATACAGTTGAAGGCAGTGATATACCGTCATCACTGAATAGCTGTTATTGAAAATAACTATATTAGTGTAAAATGAATATATTTGGTGGCCACAGAAAAATGTTCCACATGATACCTCCTAGGGAACTTACTTCAGCCAGTTGAGCTTTATTGAGGCCAGGTCTGGTTTGCAACTTGTAATGCCTTTTGTAACGGCGCAATGTGTTTACCTGAAGTTGAAACAAATCAACCTGCAAAACAGATGGCACCATTTACAAAAGAAGCCACCTTTAAAACATGTATTACTTTAAAAAGCAATGCACATTCCATTTTAAAGCAAGCACTTCTAGCCCAAGTTACACAAAATGGGTAACTGGCATAATGGATACAAGCAGAGCCCTAGGAGAACTTTACTTGAATGTAATACAAACAGAATAGTTCCTCATTTTCTGTGAACTCTCTGGATTGTGGCCAACATGTGAGTACAGTGATGACATATTCTTGGCCATTCTTTCGTAACATGGCAAAAGACTGTTGATAACCCTGCTATATGATCAGAGGCACAATCCCATGGCTTGTGCATGCTACGAGTTGTAGGATTTATTTCTGCCTAAATATGTACAGCATTGTGCCCTAAAATTCTATTCTAGCTATCCACACTTTTAACTTTTTTCAAAGTTAAAACTACTAACAGTTCAAACAATCACTGGCACTGATTTTTGTAATATGCTGTTCTGTATACAAGCCCTTTCTTTGAAAAAAAAAAAGAACTTTCAATTTCTAGCACTTTGAACAATTAAAATCATAATGAACTAGTCTAAATGAAGAAAGAAACAAACAGAAAGCCTTTGAAGCATTAGACAGAAATTAGGAAAAAGTATGTCCAGACCTGTATATTTTGTTTAGTAACTTTTGTTACCTGATGAACAATTGTGGGCGAAACTCAAGGTGAGACAGAACCATGTAGCTTGGTGAAATGATATATTACAAGCAATGGTACAGTAAACTGTGCCTTCTGCTTGTCCTAGGAAGCATGTAGACAACTAGGAGTGCATTGTGTTTTTATAACCCTTTAAACACAGCACTATTTGAAGTTTCAGTTCAGAATGAAAACTACTAACTTGCACTGAAATAAAAGCAGATATTTCTATTCTAGCAATGATCTACATTGCACAAATTAATATTACCAACCTATGTTGACATGCTGATAACCCTCTGCCAATGTGAGCAGGGGGTTCAAGTAGCATATTGTGGATACCAGAAGTCTAAAATCAAAGGCTGATCATTAATCAAAATGCAATACTAACTAGAATAGAAATACACATAACCACAATTTCATTATGGAGAAGAAGAAAATTGGGTATATTACTATATTTATTTATTATTTATTTATTAAAACATTTCTATGCCGCCCCTTGCCAAGGCCTCGGGGCGGCTTACAACATTGAATACAAAATACATTGAAATATATACCTCTGGGACATCTATCTCATGTTCTGGCGAGTCTCCTCCATCATCACTTGTCTTCCTCTTCCTTTTGTTCCGAACACTTTGAATGAAGTTCTTATGGAAATCACAAATATACAAGTGCCTTACCTAAGAATTAAAAGACAGAGAGGGTACAAAAAAGCACAGTAGCCATTAGACAGAAAATTAGATGGATACAGTGAATGACAGGAGAAATAAGAACCTGCAAAATTCTACCAACAGAAGTTTGGGCATTTAATTATTTTTTAAGTGCTCATCTGTTCATTTATAAGCTATTGAGTGCCAAGAAGCTGCGTGACAGAATAACCTCAATCTATTTAAATATCATCGGAGCTTGCTCTGCAAAGGTAGCATTTTCTCTCTCTCTTTCAAATATCCATAGTCTGCTGAGTGACCAGCTGCTTCATTGCCCAGCTGCTTTCTTCAGGTCTGAAACAGGGATTTCTTCAAATGACTTACTGAAGTAAATAAGCTGCAGGAAAGACCTGTGTACTAGAACTTGAAGCTGGACCTAGAATGACTGATTTTTTTTCCTCTGTTGTAAATTGAAGGAAATGTCCACCTTTCTATTCTTACATAATGTGACTATGCTCTGGAGTGCTAAAAATGAGTTCAGGAATTACTAGGTCTATCCATTTGGTGCTAGCTTGGCCTACTGTGCTAGCTTTTCTAATTTAAAATCTTTTAAAAGTAGAAAACTGCAAACCCAGCTTTTGAACTGTGCAAGATGCAAGGGTATCAAGTTTTAATTTCACATAGTATCCACTGAAGGTAGTCAGTTTTTATGATAAAACATAGATATTTTTATACCTAATTTCATGCAAGTTAGCAGAGAAAGAGAAAGTTATGTAGTCTTGAAAACTCTACATTCCACTGGCCAAAGCTCAACAACTTTCTTCAGAAATCAATGGCTTTTAATTAAAAAAAAAAATCCCACCACTGATTTATACCAAGTTTACTACTGTGTAATGTTTAGAATTTATAAACTTAGTAACACCTTGCTGAACTGTGAGACTACCGCTATTGACATAGAGCTTAGATGAACATAAAGTTTTTGTCCCAATTTGAAACTAAATTGCACAGTTACATTGTTGGATAACTGTAACACTCTGGAAACAAGTATCTGATGAAGTAGGCTCTAGTCCATAAAAGCTTATAAAAATGTTGCATTTCTGTGATTGCCTTAACAGACTAACAGGACTACCCCCTGGGAAATAATTGAGGATGTTAGCCGACCTTAACCTCCTTATGTAATCAAACAGTGTTTGGATTTGTTGGAAAACAAGCTAGCCAGCAAGCAATTATGCTTTATTTACCTATGTGATGAATTCCAGTTCAGTTAATGAGACTGTAGAATTAATTAAAGTACAAAATTCATTGCTTTTTGTCCAAGTGATCATTTTAATATTTGCCTGAAGGGCATTCATTTCCTTAGTGGAGTCTTAACTGTGACCACAGCTTGCCTTGATTATCTATTGAAAGGAGTTTTACTATATAGTTCTCTGTGGAACTTCATCATGGTTATTTTTTTAAAGCAATTTCTTCTTGTATTGCAGAGACATCTATATTAACAGCAAGTAAGTCAGCCTATCAACATGTATACAATTTGTGTTATTGGACTTCTTATGTGGCACTTAGGGTAAGCTGCTTGGCTAGATCTAAATCTAAAACAGTACCAAGTAGCAGGCAGTCAAAAGGACACAACCAACCATTTCTGCTCTCCCACAGACTGGGTTTAACATTTCTGAATGAAGCTAGTGAGGAGCGCCTTGAAGAGTAATAGTAATTAATCATCACGCTCCATACTATGCTGAATCATCATGATCCCTACTGCCACACACAATGATGCTCCAGTTTAAAATGCCTAATGTGACAGATGCCACTTAATGTTAACACTAATTGGCTGGCAGCATTTAAATCCATTCGATACTAGCCAAGAAAGAAATGTGTTTGCAGTTTTCTACTTTAAAAGATTGTTTGACTGCACTTCAGTGTTGGAAATTTGACAGTTTTTAAATAAATGGTTTCAAGGCAACCATCTGATCCTTACTGATGCACATTTGTTAGTCAATTACAAATGCACACACCAGCTCTCTACAGCATTGCCAGCGTTCAGTGTCAGTTGGCAGACACATCACTATATGGCTTTTGACTAGAAAGTGGATGTTTTTTCTTCTCCTTTAACTGCCAATGCTAAACAATTGTCTTCTAATATCTCTGTGCTATATATTTACATATAATGATAGGTTTCTCTATTCTCCCCATCAGAGTTTGGCTAGTTACAGCCTCTTAACTAGACACATCAATTTTGTCCTTCCAATATTACCAGTTTTTGTGCCACCTACATATTATGTTACATATACTTTCTGACCCACCAGATATTATGAGCTTTTTACAGTTGGCTTCACATTGCCTGTCATGAAACAAAAATGCATTTATACTCTGAAGTAACTGGTTAACTTTTGTTTTTCCCTTTCACCATGTAGCTATGATCACAATTGCTTCACTATATTCAATATTTTTTTAACTTGAAGAAAATTGATACTCAATATAACTCTAATAAGAACACCCCCATGTAATATGTTAAAGGTCACATGTGCTGTTTTAGATGCATTCTTTGTAACATAAAAGGCATCAACTCTATCTACACAAGCTTCAGCGCTAAAAACAAAAGTCATGACAAAGACTGTAGAGGTAACGTGCTTTTACTGCAACTCAGGAGTTCAGGCCACTCTGATCAATTATGCTCAGGATAACAAAGTTTTGTTCTGCAACTATTAAGCGGGACTGTCTCTTCACTATAGGAATGGTTTCTTAAAATGGCAACCAAAACTTTGGAATCCTTTAGCATTATAGCTTCTCGTTAACACAAGAGCTGCATGGTACCCCCAGCAAATTACAGACTGCAGCAGACACAGAGGGCAGAAACTAAGGAAATCCGATAGTCACAACTCACACTTTTGTCAATGTCCAGTTTGAGCTTTTTCTGAGAGATACTCTTTTGGATCCTCTTGCTAAAGGAGGCGTTGCCAGCCGGGCGGACGCAGCGGTCCCCGTCGTCGATGAGGCAGCAGCTCTGTCCGTAAAAAGGGGTGGTGGGAGGCCCATCCCGGCTGTCCTCCTCCGTGCTGAAACCATTCATCGCAGCCTGCCAGCGGCCCCGGGAGGCAGGCGGCGCAAGAGGCGGCGCCCCTCCCCGCCCCCGGAGCCCTCCGTGGCCCTCTCGCGGCCAAGCGCGCCCGCGAGCCCCTCCGCGCCCGGCTCCGCACCTGCCTCAGCGAGACATCGCGGCGCCGCGGAGCAGCCTGCCGGGCGAGCGCGCCCGCAGCTGCACCGCGCAGCCCGCGCCCGCGCCCCTCCGGACCCCGGGCGCGCCCGGTCCCCTTCCCGAAACTCACTTTGCTCCCGCGGAGCCGGCGCGCTCGCCGTCCCCGCGGGACCCGCCGCACGCCAGCAGGGGCAGGCGGGCAGGTGGACGGGCGCCCCGGCAAGAGGCGGCGGAGGGCAGGGCTGCCCTGCCCGCCGGCGCCCCCGCCGTTCCCTCACGGCCTGTAAACAACTCCGGTCTCCCCGCCAGCGGGCTCCCGGCCGCGGAGGTGCCCCTCCGGCTGCCCGGCGCGGAGCTTCCGGAGCCGGCAGCCCGGTACGTGTCGCTGTGCCCGGCTGCCGGCCCCCGCCACCGGGCTCGCCAGGCGGCCGCTACCTGCGCTGCCGGAGAGGACGCCAGCCAGGCCGGGGAGCCAGGACCCCAGTCCCCGCCCGCCGGCCCGCGCGAGCTCGCCCGCTCGCTTCACTCTGCTCTTCGCTCCCTCACACTCGCACACAAAACCTGCCCGCTCCGCCTCCGCCACCCCTCTCTGAGCGGAAGTCCCGTCCCCGAGCGTCCATTGGCGACCGCAGCACGGGCGGGCGGGGCTCCGCCGCCGCTCTCATAGCCTACCGGTTGAAGTTGCTGTCCGTCTGCAGCGATAGGCTACTTCCTGCAAGGGGGTTGAAGCTAGCGATTGTTTGAACTCGGCTCGGAGAAAACGGGGAGAGAGCCGCGGGGGCGGGCGAGTGGGGGGATTTCGTCGGTAACCTGAAAGTACTGCATCGAGGGTAAACATAGTAAGGGCTTAAAAAAAAAAGGATGCATTTAAATTTGAGGTAAATAACTTCTGGCTACATGTACCCAGGGTTGTACTGTCAGCGACCCAAAGCGAAAAGGAGCGTCTTTGGGAACAGTTAAGCCACCTTGCCTAAAAGAGCGTCCACACCTGCAGTTCAAAGCGAGTCACGTCTACTGAGGAAGAGGCCCATAGAGTTCAGCGGGACTAACTCCCAGGTATTGCGTGGATTAGCTGGCACTCCCACAGTCAGATTCGTGCTCGTTAGAATGAAGTCGTCTTCAGAGTACGAGAGATCCTGGCTCAATGGCATCTACTAACGTTTCGAGCTCTTTGCGCCTTTTGCTCCAGCTGGTAATCCTGGCCGGTCCTTCTGGAAGTTCAGAGACCTGCGTTAGCTGGAGGAAGGCAAGGGGTATGCAGGTGAGCAATCGTGAAGGGGATGCCGCTTGGAAACACCAGCGAGGAAAGAAAACAAACCGGGGAAGCGAGGATAGCTAGAAACCTGGGGCCAGCAGGGGTGATTCAAAGGATTTGGAGATCAGGATTCTCTGTGGGAATCTGGGGAAATAAAAACTTGGAGGGAGGGATGCTCCTTCTTCATAGGCCTTGAATATGTACAATGGAGGGAGATTATAGGAGTGATGGAGGATCAGTTATTTTAGGGAGAGGTAGAGGGAGCTATGGCATTGGGTGGTGAGCTAGCCAAGTCAGGGGGATGCAGTCCATGCACCTAATGTGTCATGTCCTGGCCCTGCTCCCAACTGCTGTCCTGGTAGTTGCTCCATCAGCCTGTCCTCAGGTCTCCAGATGCTACGTTTAAATGCCAGATTGGTGCATAATAGGACCTCCCTCATTCATGATTTAATAGTGGATTAAATGCTGACCTGGTATGCATTACTGAGACTGGGTGGGTGCACAGACGAGTTAGCCTCTCCCTGCTCTGCCCACCTAAGTACTTGGTACAGGATCAAGGTAGACTGGAGGGCAGGGAGCCAGGGGTTGTGGTCTATAGAAGTTCTCTCTCTCTCGCTCTCTCTCTCCCTCTCTCTCCCTCTCCAAAGCTCCCTCTCAGTCTCCTACTCTAGAGTGTTTGCATCTTGTGTGGGCCAGCAGGACAGATTGGGGATTCTTTTGGTGTAGTATTCACATCAGGACCCAATAGTCTCCCTATTTGAGCTGACAGGTTCCCCAGGCTGCTGGTCCTGAGAGATTTCAGCATGGATGCTGAGGGTATAATGTCTGGGGCTGCTCAGGATTTCATAGACTCCATGTCAACCATGGTGGCCCAGCACAGGTAGCAGGGCACACTTTGGGTTTGTTTTTTTCCAGCCAGGCAGGTTGATAGTGATCTGAAGGTGAGAGACTTTGAATTAGTCCCTCTGTCACGGTCAGAGCACGGCCTGCTGAGATTTAGACTAATGGTGACTTTTCCCCTCTGCAGGGGTGGGGAACATATTAAAATGGATCCTGGAAGCTGATGGATCCTGATGTTTTCCAGAGGGCTCTGAGGAATTTTCTGGCTGTTATGGTTGGTGTTCCTGTTGAATCCCTGGTCAATCTCTAGAATACAGAGTTGACACAGTTGCTGTGTAGTAGCGCTTGTACAGCTTCATGGGAGTGATGAAATGTGTCAGGATATGACTTGAGTGCAGATGAAGAAAACAGCTAGTGAATACAATTGAGCTGCAGTTGGATGTGTTTGCAGGCAGTGAGAGCAGCAAAGAAGCCTTATTAGACTGCCTCTGTTTGGACTTCTATCGCTGCCCAGCAGAATTGTCTAGAATTGTCTGGGGTCTACTATGTGCTGGCCCCAAGGACGTCTGAGGCCTGCAGTAATATATGTGCTAGGGCACTTCTAGGACACAGTGTCTTGTATCTGCCAGATAATAGTGGAGTCTGGTGGAATATCAAAGTTTGGCCTAGTTGTTTTAGATGAGTTCCAGTTCATACAGCTTGAGGATGTCAACAAGTTGCTTGGACAGGTTCATGTGGCTACATCCATACTGGATTCTTGCCCCTCATGCCTAATAAAAGCCAGTAGGGAGGGAACTGCCAGCTAGGCAAGGGAGGAGATGAATGCTTCTTTACAAGAAGGAATAGTCCCTGGCTATCCTGGTGGAGGGACCACTTCTGAAGAAACCTTCCCTGGGCCCAGAAGAACTCAACCATTTTAGGCTGGTTGCAAACATCCCCTTCCTGGGCAAGGTTCTTGAGCTGGTCATGGCCAACCAACTCTGGGCACTCTTGGATGAAACTGATTATCTGGATCCATTTCAGGCCTGGGTTTGGCATAGAAATAGCTTTGGTTACCCATAATAACCTGTGCCCGGAGAGAAACAGGGAAGTGTCATTCTGTTGGTTCGCCTGGACCTCTTCGCCACTTTTGATACCATCAACCATATGGTATCCTTTTGAGGCAACTGTCTGAGTTGCATTGCAGTGGTTCTGCTCCGACTTGGATGATAGGCTCCAGAAGGTGGTGCTTGGGGAATAGAGCTCTGCCCCTTCAATCTTTCAGTATGGGGTTCTTTGGGAGTCACTCTTGTCCCCTGTATTATTTAACGTCTACATGTAACCACCAGGAGAGCTCATCCTGAGTAATGGAGTGTGTTGTCGTTAATATCCTGATGACATGCTGCTGTATCTCTCCTTTTCATTTTCAGCAGGTGAGTCTGTGGATGTGCTGAACTGGTGCCTGGCTGTGACAAGGGACTGCATGAGGGCTAACAAGCAAGCTCAATCCAGACAAGATTGAGATGCTATTAGTGGGTGGTTCTTCTGGAGGGATGGAAGGAATTCAGCCTGCTCTGGATGGGGTTGCTCTCCCCTTGAAGGAGCAGGTTCATAGCTTGTGGGTGCTCCTTGAGTAAACTTTGTCACTTGAGGTTCAGGTGGCTTTACTGGCTTTGGAGTACCTTCTACCATTTTGCTGCTGGCTTAGTTATGCCCCTACCTGGACAGAGATCACCTGTTATTGGTGATCTATGCTCTGGTAATCTTAAAATAGATTACTGCAGTGCAGTCTATATGGGGCTGCCCTTGAAGACTGTTCATAAGCTGTAGCTTGTGCAAAATGTGGCAGACTAATAACAGGGATCAGATGGTCCAATCACATAATACCAGTTCTGGTCTGCTTGCACTGGCTGCCTATATGCTTCTGAGTCCAACTGAAGGCACAGGTTTTAAACTATAAAGCCATACATGGCTTGGGCCATAATACCTGATGGAATGCTTCTTCCAGACTTCCAACTACCTGGACACTAGGATCAAGTTCTGGAGTCTACCTCTGATTGCCACCTCTGAGAGGCTCAGATAGAGCCAACAAAGGACAAGGGCCTTTTCAGCGGTGGCCCCTCAGTTGTGGAACAATATCCCCCTAAGGCCTGCCTGGTGCCAACTTTACTATATACTTTCAGCATCAAGTAAAGACTATCTTCTACTGTAGGGCATCCAATTAGTCTACTAGGGCCTAAGCAATTGTCAAAAAGGTCTTAAGTTTTTCTTCAGTTTAAAATTGTTTGTAAATTTGGTTTTAAATTCTGTATTCTGAGCTTTTAATGATGTTTTAATATGGTGTAATTTATATTGCATTTTTAATGTACTGTTGTAAACCACCCAGAGAACTTCAGCTACTGGGCAGTAGAGAAAATAAATACCACCACTTGAACTAGGAATCTACTTCTTCCTAGGTCACCTACTGGGCAGTAGAGAAAATAAATACCAGCCCTTGAACTAGAACAGTCTGCTGATCAAATTTGCAGATGACACTAAAACTGGAGCAGTGGCCACAACTGAGGAGCAGGTACTCCAGATCCAAAAGGATCTGGGCAGACTATGGAAGTGGGCAGGAGACAACAGGATGGCGTTCAATGTGGATAAGTGCAAGGTCTTGCACTTGGGGCATAGGAATAGGTGTCATAAGTACAGGTTAGGTGACAAGTGGCTGGAGAGCAGCACTTGTGAAAGGGACCTCGGGGTACTGGTTGACTGCAGGCTAAACATGAGTCAGCAGTTTGATGCGGTGGTCAAGAGGGCAAACGCCACCCTTGGTTGCATAGCCAGAAGTGTGGCTTCTAGAAGTGGTATTACTACTACTCCACATGACTCTGGTGCACCCGCAATTGGAGTATTGTGTTCAGTTTTGAGCCCCTCGTTACAGAAAGGATTTAGCCAGGTTGGAGTCAGTGCAGCGTAGGGCCACAAGGTTGGTGGCCGGTTTGCAGGGGATGGGGTATGAGGCGAGACTGAGGGAACTGGGTCTTTTCAGCCTGGAGAAGAGGAGACTCAGAGGGGATATGCTGGCGACATACAGGTATGTGAGGGGATGTCACATGGAGATGGGTAGAGACCTGTTCTCCCCTGCGGAGGAAGGCAGGACGCGCTCCAATGGAGCAAAGCTCAGGGAGCCAAGGTTCCATTTAGATGTCAGGAAGTGCTTCCTGGCATCTAAATG